GCATATGGGGGACTCGACGGAGAGTCCGAAACAACCACTATGACGGAGGTAGCCGATGCGAAGTCTGCCAGCTCAACCACCAAAAGTCCCGGTACTGCCAGCGAAGTCGTCGATGCCAACAAAAACTATGGTGGTGGTGGTGTCGTCGTGGTCGAGATCTTCTCGAAGCTGAGGAAGACACGGTTGCTTATCTGAGCCGGTTGCTCTGGTTAGCGAGGTCACGATCGTTCGAGGCAGCAGTCGAGTGTGATAAGGGTTACAGGCTGGCCTTGCCACAAGGGGTCACCCGCCTGCGGGACACTGACCCTTCTCTCCAAGTCGACTCTGCCCTCGGTACCTATTTAAGATTCAATCAGTCTCACGAGTTGATAGCTGTAGCCTTGGCTGAACCGGCGGTGAGCCAATCTGGCATACCCAGGCCACCTTCGGGCGAGGGTATACGTAGGCAAGGGAGCGCTATGCACTTCGGTGCTGACACTTGCCGTTTCACTCGCCAATCCTGTCCCTTCGGTAGGGATTGCCGTTATCGTAAACATTTCGGCGACCCCCAATCTAAGCCTCATTGGCAGAACGGTCAAGGTGGGGAGAAGGACAGTAGCTTCGGGTCTGATAAACGCCCTAGGACTGGGCAGGTGAAGGATGAACCATCAAGGAAGAACCCTAAGAACCAATAGCTGCGGCATTGGTTTGGTGCCAATCCAACACTGTTGAAGCTGAGTTTCCGCCATTTTCCGAAGTTTGATTATCACGTAACGTAGTCAAAACTGGTCGCTGCTGCGTTGCGTCAGTGCCGTTCCTAGTGGTCATAACACCATAAATGGGACGGAGGAAACGTCGTTCTCGGAACGACTGTCGTTCAGTTTGGTTCCCACTTAACAAAGAGAGTCTCTTTAAGAGACTCTTCTTTGGGAAATGCCACACGTGAGGTCTACCCAAGCGAAGAAACAGCGAGATAGGCGCAGAAAGTTGGGCAGCAAGCCTGAAGATCACCCTTGGGTAACGTCGACCCAGGAATTATCAGCCGCAGCGGTGGAGGGAAAGCCTCGAGATGGCTCCGGGTACTCAGGGCAGTGGGACAAGTTCGAGTTTCGAGAATCTGAGTTGCCATTAATAGAGAGTACTTCTGGGATTCTAATTAAGCACACAGAGAGGTTCTGTGCGGCCCGAAAGGACTTCTTAGATCGTTTCTTCGCCAGCTCTCGGGAAGAGCAATCCGCGATGAGTGTGGAGTGGAACGCCGATGATGGAGCTCCCCTCAATAGTGTGGCCAATGATCTCCTTGAGGACTTGACCACTTTCATCTCGGTCGCGAAGGACATCAATAAATCGGAGCTGGGAGAGCTGGCCGCCCCCCCGTCCCCTCTACGCGCTAGACTGCTAGAAGAACTCTGCCTCAGTACGGCCCCTGGTGAAGGAGCAACAACGGAGTCGCCCGGTGAAGACGCGGATATCTGCCGGATGGTAGCTGAGGGAGCACCAATTGGGCCTCTTGATCCCGGTTCGAGTAAATGCGGAATGGCCAGCAGTCGATACTGACAAGTTTGGCAAACCAAAGAAGGATGAGCCG